CTACCATCTCCACCCCCTAGATGTGGATCCAACCCCGCCCCCTGGATCTTTGTTCTGCAGTGAGGGGCTACTGGATCCATGTGGACGAAACGCCTATACGATACAAAATGTATGCGCATACAGCTAAACGCGTCTCTGTGTGGACGGGGCCTACACCTCTTCTGGTCGACTAACGGTTAGTTGACTATTAGGGGCCAGCCCTAAACCAATATTTAAAAAATGTAATTATTGTTAATTAACTAAATGAATAATATAATGCCTTTTGAAGTGGTTGTAAATGTAATTTTAACTTTTGTTGCGGTATGCTAATAGACTTATAGACAAAGTTTGTCCATTTGGATTTATCTGGAAGAGTCTCTGGGCGATAAATAATGTTAGTACAAGATATGTTCACATTGATTCTCAAGATCTAACAAATGTCTTGTTTAATATGTTATCCTGTCAATGGTAATGAATAATCCATCCTTAGTTATTTTATTAGATTAATTAGATGTGAGTTAACCCTGGATCATTTTACATGCTTTTCATGTATTTTCTATGTCAGTGATCGGGATGTTTAGCTGTTAGTCTGTTACAGACTGAACTGAAGGAGGAAGCTGGTTTTGGCCCAGTAAAGTGAATCGTGTTGTGATGTGTGTGTGTTTAGTTGGTGAAGGAGGTGGATAACGAGGTGCGTCTGCGTCTGATGCAGTTTGTGACGGGCACCTGCAGGCTTCCGCTGGGCGGCTTCGCTGAGCTCATGGGTGAGTCTCCAGTCAATCCAGGAACTCATGCAGAAAAACACACATGCTTGTTTATTTCCCTCACCCGTGTAACAGACACATTTGAACCCTCTTCTTCTGATTCTTCATCCTCCAGGAAGCAACGGACCGCAGAAGTTCTGCATTGAGAAGGTGGGCAAAGAGACGTGGCTGCCCCGGAGTCACACCTGGTGAGTGTTCAGGATGAAGGTAGGGTCACAGGCTGATGACACTCACATCTCACTCTGTGTTTTCTGTTCGCAGCTTTAACCGGCTGGATTTGCCCCCCTACAAAAGCTTCGAACAGCTGAAGGAGAAGCTGCTCTTTGCGATCGAGGAGACGGAAGGATTCGGTCAAGAGTGATGAAGCGTCTTTCCTCTTTATGGCCACGCATCAGCCAAGTAAAACAAAACCATGAAACTTGCACAGATGATTACCAATGTAAATAAGCTATTTTGTCATTTTAAACCAAATCTTTATCTTAAGACCTCATTTAGCGATCGTCATAACAGGATTCCCCATGAATATGCAAGCGTTTGAGCTTTTCTGATCTTTTCGATGCTGGTATCTATATACAACAACGCTTCGTTTTATTCATTTGGCGGGTTTGTAAAATGAGTGTGGAAAAAAAACATTAGAGAGGATTTTATAGTAGAACTCAAACTTACGGCTCTAGTTTTATAGAGCTTTTACAGAATGATTGTAGAGTTTGATCAGGTGCCTGGGGTTTTTCTTGATTTGTTTTGTGTTGTTGGACACTGAGTTGTGATGAAGCACTTGCATGGCTGCCTGCAGACTGAGAGATGATTGGACTCTGTAGACCGCTGTCTCACATATCATTCATCACGACTGGCTCTCGACAGTATTGCTGCTGTCTCTCAGTATTGGTCTCTCTCTGCACTCGCTCAGAACATCAGTTGTGCTCGAAGCACTTCACTATTTCTGTGGCCTTTGACCGTCAGGGGAGGAAAACTGTCCATGAATATCTTTCATATTAAAATATGAGTTCAAACAAACTCGGCTGTCTCGTGTTCTTCAAGCACTGATGGAGATTCCTGTGGGGGTTTTTTAGATTCTTTAATTGCATCTCAACACAGAACTCTGAGCCCAGCATAAATATATATTCAAGTTTGTTTGAATTTATTTCATTTGCAGAGAGAACAAAATATAGACAATTTGTTAAATTAATTTTTGATAGTTTAATTGCTTCCAAAACATTTGAAATCAGATTCATGTAAATAAAGAACAAAAACCATGTTTCATAGTTTAAGTTTCAGTGTCTTCTAGTTGGATGGACGATTCTGTGAGAAGATGGGGGTAAACTGAAGTATTCAGAGAAGTATCCAGGTGCACACGTGTGTTAAAAGAGTTTGATAAAAATCCTCATTACTATACGATAAACAGATTAGCCACATGTTGAAGCTTCACTGAGTGATCTTTGATCTGCAGCCAGTCCAGGGTCTCTGTTGAATCTGTGGACTCGTCCTGTTAAGGTCTGAAACTAGCAAACATTCAAGAGTGCTAGAAATACACCAGTACTAGTCAAATACAGTCTGCATTACATTTAGACATTGTCCTTTCATTCAGCCTCAGATAATGGCAGACACTTGAGAGTCTAAAATAGTGAATGATAAATCGCCATCATACACAAATCAATAGTAAGTCATTACAAAAATCAATGAAGGCATCTCTGGGTAACTGTTAGATAACATCGGGTCTGATTTAGCTGCTACTCATCCGTCGAGTTTCTTCAGCAGCTCCAGCGCTTCCTTATGAACCTGCATTGGGCCAAACGTGAACATTACGCCTCTGCAGACGATATAACATGAATATAACCGTGATCAAACTGTGCTTGTGAACCTGTTTGTCTTCTTCTGTGACTGCAGGATAATCTCGTGCTTTAGTGAGCCACAGCGCCGCCGGCTTGACGTCTCTCAGCATCATGTACGTCTTTCCCAGCATCAGCAGGTTCTTACTGTAGAAATTTGGGTCAACTAAATCCAGATATTAAAATGTTAAAGTCATGTGTAAAATAATTAAAAACAAGATGAAGGTGTTTGCGTTCATACAGGACCTTCTTCAGCTTTCAGGAAAAATGCCAAAGCCTGAGGAAGATGAGACATTTATTACTCCCACAGCTTCAGTGCTCATGTAAGCATCTACATCAGTGTTTCCCAGCCGTGTTCCTGGAGCACTTTCTGTCTGACAGTCTCTAGTAATGAGCTGAGGATCTCAGTCAGCTGTGTTTGATTAAGAAGACATGGACAGCGTGCAGTGTTGGGGCTGCAGGAATGTGGCTGGGAACCCCTGGTCTACATCATATAATTATTCGTTTCATTGACCTCTTCATAAGTGGCTGTTGGAGGAGACGCAAAAATAACTGCTACAACTTTCCGCTGGTACCACGCTAATTCAGCGAACGCAAAACACCTGCAAGCCGGGAAAACACACATTCAAAGGAACGGTCATCGTGTTACGAAAGTTCAATATGGCCAGTGATGTGCAAATTTATCTGTTTATAGCAGAATACAAACTCACCAGTAACCAAGAATATGGATGGACGTTGCATCTTTTGGATTGAGTTCAATCGCTTGCTGTAGAAATGAGCGTCAAGATGTTTTATTCATTCAGTGGTGAATGTGACCTAACTAGTGTGGTTATTTAATTCACCCCAATTAACATCTTACCTCTAAATGGTTTCTGATGGTGTAGGAATTTCCTATTTTCACTTTGATCCCTTCATAATCACCAACATCACTGAGGCAGATTGCGAACCACTGCAGACGACAGGGTGATAAAACATCTAATATTTGCTCAAACACTGCAATACACATTTACAAACAGAAATGATCACCTACTTTGTGTGCTGCAAAGCAAGCCTGATTTTTCTCCAGAGCTTTCTTGGCGAAGTCAAAGGCCTCGTATGTGAGCCGCTTCTTCTCGTCGGCGTGCTGGACAGTAACGCCAGATCACGGGACGCTCGCGCCAAACGCCACAGAAACTCTGCATCATCACTGCGAACGGAGAGATACCTTCACTGTTAATACGGCCTTTATGTCATCTAGCACACTGCTGATGTTTGTGTTCTGGCTGAGAATAAGCAGAAGCGATCCTCTGTCATCCTGAACCGTTGAGTGTGAAGACGGACAGATTTCACTCAAAACTGTTGATAACTGAGACTTGCAGAGATTTCACATTTACCTACAGCTTCAGGTGAGTTTTACCTGTCTGAACGCTCTTGGGTTAGTTTTACCCGTCTAAACGCTGTCTCGGGTTAGTTTTACCTGTCTAAACGCTCTCTCGGGTTACCTGTCTAAACGCTGTCTCGGGTTAGTTTTACCTGTCT